CAACACAGCATCTGCTCAGGTGAGAGTTTAACACAGGAAGAGGAGGAAAGCCTCTGAGGATATATACGATCAGCAAAAGCTTGAGCTTCCGCACCTCAACCGGGAAGCGGCTGGAGAAATGTGACTTGAACAGAGCTGGAATAATAATCGGGCAGAACAACAGAATGGCGGCCGGTCCCGAGGGAGCCACTAAAACTGAATCCAGTCTTAACAAAGCAAAGCTGAGAGAGGTGTGTTTTGCGAAGGGAGGTGTGTTAAGGGGTGGGGATCAAATCATTGTCCTTGAAGATGTTTCCTTTTCTCCTGAGAGCTATTTCAGTCTCGCTCTCACCATCTTACCTTTCTCTTGCTTGGCTGTCTACTGCTCTGTTTTTTTTTTTTTTTAATTTATGCAGCTTATTCTCCCTCTCTTTCTGTCACACACAGATACATGCAGACATTCTCTCTCCCTCTCTCTCTCTCTCTCTCTCTCTCTCTCACCCTCTTCCTGTTCACTGAGGCAGTGACTCATCTATGAGAGGAGGGGTAAAAGGGGTATAGAGAGAAAGATAGAATAAGAGAGAAATACAGAGAAAGAGTATGCAGGTCCAACAACAACATCCATCTCTATTTTCCTGTGAGCCGAACGCTCCGAGGCCACTCGGAGAGCAATCAAAATTCCCCAGGTTTCCATTCTTGCCACATGCTTAGTTGTACAATACGAGCACGCCATATGCTCCAAGATGGGATTTGGTGCAATTTTAAGCCCGATGGCCTTCAAATTCACAGCAGAACAAAGAGAGCGAACAGCTGGCTGCTTCTCCGTGGCTGGATGGCGCCGAGTCAACCTGTTCAATCATATGCCATCCTTGTTTACCTCGGCTTATCTCTGTTTTTGGTTTACTTACTCCGAACGCACACAGCCGCGAGCCGAGAAACTTTCGAGTGAGCGAAAACAATTCCGGCTTTAAGCAATGCACTTTGAGAAAATGTCTCTGCTGATGAGTACAAGACGCCATCAAAGTGGAACGATTCATGAGCTTCAGCCCTGCAAGCCTTTATGAGCTTTAGCGATGTGATAATTACAACTCTATTACACAGCACCAGACAGTTATCTTTCACCTCCTCCCTCCTGCTGTCCGAACCTTTCATGTCTGCTTTCCCCTGTCCTTAAGGGCCATCTTGGCCTATCGAATGAGCTCGTTGCTCTCTGCAGGGAACCGCAGGATCAGATGTTCCCTTTGGCAGCGGTGTAGAGAGAAGGGGCTACACGGCACGGCTTGTAAAAAGCTTTCAGCACGGCTCAGGTATCGCGCCCCGAGCCAGGTCAGCACGACTCCACTCTCTAAGTGTCAGGCGCACAAATGAGCTAGTGATAAAGCTCCCTGCAGCTTTCACCTCCACCAGACTTAATACACAACGTATGCTGGGCCTCTCCAGTCTGGGGGACAAAAAAAAAGTACTCCAGTAAATGTAAGTGTTCTAGAGGGGTTCGTTTTTAAATCCCTAGACGGAGATCAGAATTCGAATACGCAACTTGGCGACTAGACTTACAAAAGGGTTTGCTTACTGTTTACATAGAAAAACTAAATCTCTTGTATTATGGCTCAAAATATGCCCTGGGTATTTCTTCCTATAACGATAATGGCAAAAATGATGGTCACGATCATTTATATAATACATGAAATCATGATTATTAACCACACACTTTAAACCGTTTCATATCAGCAGAAAAACCGCACGTTGTACATTATAAGCCAAACCCCGTAATCCGATTGGTCAGATGGTGTTCATGTATTACTTTTTCTATTACAGCAGCTTATAATAATGGACTTGTTTAATACTGTACGTTATTGTTTCTATAGCAACAGACCATTCACAAAGAGGCATTCGTTTAACATTTAAGGAAATAGTCTCCCGTGTCAGCACTTCATGAACATCAGTAAGTGACGGACGACGTCATAGCGCTTATAACATAAATGATAACAGAAACTTGTTTCGTGGATGTTCCACAGCGTGGAAGGTAACTAAATACAGCTAAAACATATGACCTTTCGTTCATTAATAAATAATACATTGCAATCAGTTGCAAACTGCTGTAGTATAACAGTATAACAGGAATAAAACACATAGGAGTATTCAGATATTGGAAAATAAATGACTTCAGGGTCGCATCAAACCAACAGTATGATAGCACTAACTGTCAGGTATTATTCCTTACTTATAATATGCTCTTCCATATAAAAGATGGAGCAGCTCCAAAATCCTGACTGACAAGTTTTTTGTTTGTTTGCACAAGGCTCAAGGCTCACATTGAAGGATACCTGGAGATTTAAACAGCAAAAAAAAAAAAAAAACTAGACAGACACGTGGGATCACGTTTACTGCAAAATTTGCTCTAATTGGAGCATGTTTAACAAGCATACACCTACTTAGAGGAAAACAGTAGAGCAACTATTCTGCTCAGCGCTGACATTCAAATGCGGTTTGAGGAACAGTGTGCTGCTGCTAGCACTGGTAGCGTCCAAAAAACAAGATAAACACGCGCAACCATAAACGTCTGTCTAATGTGTTCTTTAATACAGATGTTTTGCACCTAATACAAACGTTCATGACTAATTCCGAAAATTCTACCAAAAGGAATATTGGGATAAACCAGGTCTTATATACTTAAAATATATAAATGCAAAGACTCAAAAGTAATTAGTCAGAATTTCCATTCAGTTGCTTTGTGCAAAAAAATAAAATGATCACTTAACATCAAAGCATGAACTCAGTGTTCAAATAACAGGAATGTGATGGGCATGCCCGCTTACCGAGTGGTAAACTGCGAAAGCCTGAGGTTGTTTAGCTAATTATTAACAAACTATGCCCTTATGTCAACCCCTCACTGTGCCAGCTATCAATGTAAAACAGATTTAGCCAGGGGAAATCCAGAACTGTGCTGCCAATTTCTTTCTTTCTAACTACCATGGCATCCAAATGAGAGCGAGAAATGGCTTTAGCATCTGCAGGAAATGTTTCAAGTAGAAAAATCTGTACTCACCTCCCCTGATTGAGGGAGAGTCAGCTTGGGAAGTTTGCCCTTGCTCCCCACTGTGCTGCCTTTGCCATCCATCAGGCTTGTAAATGGCGTTCCACCATATCCATCCGTGATTTCCAGAGTAGGCTTGAGCTCAGGAGAGTCATTGGGCGCCTGGTCCTGGCCGTCCATGGGCCGGACATAGGCTGTGGGTTTCTGCTGTCCTCCGCTGCTGGGCTTGCAGTGCAGGCCCTGGGGGAATGTTGGTGTGGATAGACCACCGGGCACCAGAGAAGTAGAGGCCACAGGTGACCCTGAGTCTTGCTCGCAAGGTGAGCTGGTGACAGTTGGCACCTTGGCTGGCTGCCCGTGCCTCCTGCTGGGGTGTGTGGAAGTGGACGAGGTGCCAGGGCTCGAGTCACCCTGTTCCTGTTCATGCCCACTGGAGCTCTGCTTTCCCCGGCTGCCAGCCTGAGCTGCCTGGCTGCTGCCCGAACCATGTGCTCCTCGGGACCAGTCAGAGGAACGGGACTTTTTGGTGCTCTGATGCCCGTGGAGGATGCTGGGCCCTGCCATGTTGGTGGTAGCTGGAGGAGGCATGGAAGTTGTGTGGTTTGCTGGCTGGGATGAAGTGGCTCTGCCGCGCTGAGCTTCGGTGAAGAAGCTGGGCTGGTCCGTTTTCTCCACTGGGGTCTGGGGAACTGAGTTCTTAGGGATGCCCACCAGGTGGCTTTGGTTGGAATGGCTCGTCAGGAGTTCCTTCATCTCGTCATAGTTACCCAATGTGTTCTGAACTCGGTTGGCCAGGGCATCACCTTTGTTTGTCTGTAAAGACAGAAAAAAACGACCATCATGGACATCTGACCATAAATTATTTTCCTTCTTTTAATCTAACCACTGCCTATACTAGACTCATCTTCAAGGTTCTTTAAGGAATTTTTGATGGATTCAAAATGATTAGACTTCCAAAGGAGTTTCTGTTCCAAAGGGACAAATCAAAGAACACTTCAGGAGAATAGTGTCTACTTAATAGTGTTTTTGCTTCAATAATAACACCGCCATTTAGATTACCACCACCTGCAGTTTGTGCTGGCAAATGTGTGTGCCTGTAGTTATGAAAGAGAGAAAAGATATGAGTAAGTGTTTGTGTGTGGGTGAAAGTCAAAGTCAAAAGGGAAATGCACAGAAGCACATGCTGCATAGGTGCAGATGTGCAGTTCAATATGCATCCTTCTTTTAAGTGCAAATAGTGAATAATCAGCTCAAGTGTGAAAATTCTAGCTGATAGAAATAACAAAATAGCACACTGCACTTGTAGCCTTAATTTACCACTCTAACTACATTAAAGAGTAATGCCAATTACAGGTCATATGTTACTTTCTGTTTATGCTACAGAAGCGCCACAATATTAGCAGATTGTCATAGGGTCTGCCAAAACCAATCATTGCGATAGTTCAAATACCCGAAACTGCTTTTGATTTAGCTCCTTTTGGAGGCTAGCTAGCTAATGCACAAACTCTTGTTTTAAGAAAAAGAATTACCCAAGGCCACCGTCTAGAATTTATCACTCTCGGCAGTGCTTTGTGTGGCTACATCTAATGACAGCAAACTAGCTGAGTAAGCTACAAGCCTGAGAAGATAAAAACACACACACCTGGTTGCTTCTCTTGTGTGAATTTCAATGACCTGATCTCAATTCGTTGTGTATTTTGTTATGCAAATTGAACTGAATTGTATTCTCCAGCCTATCTTAGTTAGTTAGCTAGCTAAGTAAATGTTAGAGGACAAGTTTGCTACTTAATTTGTGTTTTGCTGAACTTCCATCTATCCATCCATTTTCTATACCATGAGGAACCTGGAGCGTATCCAGGGAGCATCGGGGTAAACACCCTAAACGGGGTGCCAGTCCATCGCAGGGCACAATCACATACTATGTACACTTTGGACATGCCAATAAGCATGTCTTTGGACCGCAGCACGAGGAGGACATGAAAACTCTTCACACACAAGGAATCGAACCCTCGACCTTTGAGGGGTGTGTGTGTGTGAGGCGAATGTGCTAACCACTAAGCCACCGTGCACCCGTTATACCGCACTTCTTTTAACTAATGCAGGTGACTAGCGGGCTCTTGTGCTTTGAGTGGCTCTGATGCTGATTTTAGCAAGCTAACTGGCTAAATCAGATAATCAATTACAGGCTGAACCAAACGAGCATACCCGGTTTCTTATGGTGTGTGTATTTTTATTAATCAATCCCCATTCTGCCTGTATTCTGTTATTTCATCTGTGTATTTTGCTTTGCAATGTGAATTGTGTTCCTTGTTCTGTCCTTTAGCTAGCTCACTAATGTTAGAGGACTAGCTTGCTGCCCCTGGCTGTGTGTGAAGATAAGACTGCTTTTAGCTAGCGTTAGGTGACTAGCTAACTCTTACTGTAGAGAAAAATGGATACGTCAGTGCCGTGGTGCAAATTTGTTCACAGTGCAGTGCTTCATGTGGCTCTGAGCCTGAAGGTAGTAAGCTAGATGGCTAAATTCAGTTAGCTAGCTAAAAGTCCTGGTCCGAATTGAGCTTTTAGCTAACTACCTAATATTATCAGACTATCTTGCTACTCTGTGTGAAGCTTGACTACTTTTTTGGGGGGAATAATGATGTAACCGAGCTGGAGTTTGACGTTGAAACACGGAAAAACGTCTCAGATGCTTTGATTATGAACACACATGCATCAATTTCAGCTGAAAATTTTCACTCAGCTTCTGTTTGTTCTGAGAATTCCTTGTTATAATTGCTTTCTCCTTAGCTGTACCGCACATCATTAGTTTATACAGCTTTCGTCTGCAGAGAGCCATGCAAATGCATCCCCCACTGACTCTTTCCATAATAAGCAACATTCTGCTTAGTACCCAAACCCTCTCCTACTTGGTCCATTTTTGGCTGCTGTTGTATCTCCGTGATTCCAAGTACCTGTGCAATAACAATCCAATTCAACCCAGCATGCATGACATCAATTATTTCAGGCCACAACGCCACTGCTTTGGTAGAGTGTGTGTGCACGAACATACTCGAAAGAACAAACGAGCGAACAGCACTTGTGTGTGTTGCCCTCTGTTTGCAATACAATTAAAAGGTCTGTTATTCCCAAGCAGCGAAAAGTATCAAGATAAATCTATTAACATTCGCCATTCGTTTCGTGTGTAATTGCCACATTAATAATGGAGCCCCTAAGTCGGCGATGCAAATGTGCACGTCGCTGCCTTCCGACGACGTTAAAAAAAGTCAATAAACAAATAATGGTAAATGATCCACGAGCAGGAGAGAGCATGCTGGACCATTATTGTGGGAAACAAATTAGCTGGTGGGCAGTTAACGTTTGACCCTACACACAAAGAAGGACGGTGAGACCAGATCCACTCGGCTTAGCACCCAGAATAACCTATGAACCTGCAAAGCTGCTGAGTTAATGCAGGTCGTAAAGCCGTTACGACAGTGTGGCTGTCGTTCTAGAGATTTACTGCAATTGGAGTCAGTATAAAGGATGCTTTATTGTGTGCATCAAAATCTGGTAATTGGAAATGATAAAGACTAACTTGTAAGATGGCTCTGGACATTAAAATGCAACGTAGCATTCACCGTGTTTGTCTCATAGCAAGCCGTATAGTTGTACAATCATAAACATGAAAACATGAACAAAGCATCAACCGTGTACAGTTTTCACCATGGCTGACATCGGAATGGCTACACAGCTCACCCTGGCTTTCCTCCAGCACTTTCGGATCGAGAGACCTCACGGGAAGGGGAAGTCTTGAGGGGAAAAGTGAGCGCTGGGTAAAGTACCTAAACACGTAAGCCCATCTGGACAGCACACAAAGGCCTCTTGTGTGAACTCCAACTGCCTGACTCACACAGGGGAAAGGCAGGACTCATGCCAAGTTCTGCATTCTACAGCCTGGGCAAGGTGAAAACTGCAGGAATCCTGATGCTTGAGGCATTAATTGCTGACACATTATTTTAAAGGAATGACTTGTTAAAAAAAAAAAAAGCCCTTCATGGATGATTAATCGCATACTTAATGGTGGGGGAGTATGAATTTTTGGGGACCACAAAGTCTTATTTAGCCTTGAGACTAAATACCTAAATGTTTATTTTTTTATATCCCCAAACCGCTACTTTTCTTAATAACATTTATCAGTCTCATATAAATGAATCATGAAGTTATTCAAAAGAAAAGACATGCTGATTAAATGGCGGCGTTTTTTTCCTCCCTTTGCGAAGTCATTAGTGCGACATTACTCATCAGTATCGATTAAATGACGGTACTGCTGTACAGCTACACCTCAAGCAACATGCTAAACATGACAACATCGAACTGGGGTTTTCTACATGGAATTTTTATTTATTTATCTAAATAGCAATAAACACTAGCAGTACTTGTCCTTGATCAGAAGTGTCCCAGTGATGTCCATCCATCCATCTTCTGTACCGCTTTATCCTTTTCAGGGTCATGTGGACACCTGGGAGCATCGGGCACAAAGGCGGGGTACACCCTGGACAGGGTGGCAATCCATCGCAGGGCACACAATCACACACTACGGACATCATGCATGTCTTTGGACTGGGGGAGGAAACCGGAGTACCCGGAGGAAACCCCCGCAGCACGGGGAGAACATGCAAACTCCACACACACAGGGCCACGGAGGGAATCAATCCTCCAACGCTGGAGGAGTGAGGCGAACATGCTAACCAATAAGCCCTTCCCAGTGATGTACGATTTTATATTTTCTGCTCGAACACCTGATTCAGCTAATGAAAAAAAAAATGCAACCCTACATTCAAACTAGTTAGCAAAAGTTTTTTAAAAAAGGACAAAAAAAAAAAAGGTTGCCAGCCTATTGCACACTAATTTACACCTAGGGACAATTTAGGGTCGGTGATAAACCTGCCAGCATGTTTTTGGAGCTGTGAGAAAACAAAAAAGAGATTTGCTCCATCTTATGTGCATGAGATCTGTACATGCTTAAGCAACAAATACAAATGTCTGAGTCTAATACTGAGTCTATTAATGTTTAATAATAATCTTTAAAGACATGCTGAAAGAGAAATTCACATGTTTATCTTCCACAAAAGAGTGTATTCCTGAGTGAAACGGCATAATTGGGTAGGCAGGACTTTGATTGTATTCATCGGTGTTTGATTGGCTTGTAAAAAGTAAGCATGCCTAAATAAACATGGAGTCAGATATAGATGCTAACTTGCGGTGAGGGACTGCTCGCGTCCCAGAACACAACTCGCTATTCATTCGAAAAGTTGGAGATGGAGGAAAAAGAATGAAAATGTAGTCTCAGGAGTGTGATCGTAATTATTTAAGCCTGTGCATGCAGCTACGAACGGAGGAATGCAGAGGCCGAAGTTTGTGCTTGCCTTCACAAGTACTGTATCTTGATGTCAAATGCTAAATAATAGGTTATTCTTTTTTTAGAATAGAAACTGTGGGAAAATTATATTGTATGTCTCACAGTTCAGGGGATAAAAACTCCTTCTGCGCCAACGTCAGGCTGATTCAGGTCCGATCTTTTGCTTGCAATATGTAGTGATGGATATATGAAACCTTGACACCAAATTTGGCATTTCTAGGATTGATGCTTGTTGCTTGCTAAGAAGAAAAACACGTTCATTGTAATGTAAGCTAGCTGATTTTAAGTGAAGTGCATTAGCTAGCTACATTAGTTACCCTGGACTGGATCGAGCAGGCTAGCAATAGAGACGAGCAGGTTTCGTTTCACTTAGCACATCTATCTAAAGTATGTTTTTGCTTTCAATACATCTGAATACCTCGTTGTCAATAACAGATAGAGGCTAATTGTCAAGAACAACATACTAGGTAAGAGCTGTGACATTGTTTTTTCTGGTCTAGACAGAGTTCACTGCACAGTTTGGTTAGCATCTGCTGCCAGTTATGAATTCCTAGCGTTGAATTCATATTTGAAATGTTTTATCAGGTAAGATGCTATAATACCTAATCTGGATACCAGTATCAATATGCATTCCTACTGATATCAGGTGTGACTGGTTTCTACAGCCTATGGTCGAAATATCGTTCAGTATCCACTGGTTAGTCATTCAGTAATAGGCTCCTTTGCAAAATGAAGAGGCTCCTCATTCCTTCTGTGGCTATCTGAACTTCTGGTCGAGCATAGATCACCCACTTGACGGCACATAAGACTCAATTTTGGTTCTTTTAAGCACGACAAAGTGAGGACCAGATCCTATGAGTCTTATGTAAAATATGTAAAGCTTGCAGGAAATAAGGAATCTGTGTAGGAGTAGACAGGGTGCAGCGCGTAAGATCAGATCGATTATTTTTTGCGATGCAACTACGAAATGCATGAAGTTGCAAAATAAAATATAAATCGGTTGGCCTTTAGTCTTGGCTGGAAAAAAAGAACAAAAAATATCTATGTAAGCGTTTGTCGGAGCAGTACGTGGCCTGCGTGAAACATTTTAATGGGCATATTATTGAAAAGAATCAGCACACTGTGGTACTAAGGGATGTACAGGGTCAGGGAGCTTGGGTGCTACCACTCTGTACAGCCTAGCAAGCTCTCAATGCTTCTCTTTGTTTTCTTTCACCATCTCAGCACTTCCAGCATTCACGCCACCGCCTCTTCCATGGCCCGCCTGACTATTATTGGTCAAAACAAATTGCCTGTTTATATGCAGAAGCAAAAGCTCAGCATTCATGGAATAGACATCATTTTTTATGCAGGCACAACCCTGTAGTGCTCCCACCTGTGAGATATTAAATCAGTGATAAGGGTCTCTACAATGGCTGTCATGAACTGGAATATCTCGTCTTTATAATTCAGATTTCAGAAGAGAAATTGCAGCAACAACACCCCATTTCATAAGACGAGGTTTATGAGTAGAGATTGAAACATCAGCTTTTGGAGTTATTTCCTATGTCCTAGTCAGCGGCAGTGTTTGTGCAATGAGCTGATGGACTGTAGTTCATATTTGTGTGTTTTTTTAAAGCTATATCATTTTCTAGCTATAAAATTGGGCTTGTTTCTTAGGAATTTCGCATG